ACTTGTTACTGAATTAACCAGCATATATATACTTTTAACAGCTCCATAAGTAATTTTGGGGTGTACCCAGGGCTGAGAACCCCTAGTCCAGATAATCACTTCATCCTGTCAGGCCTCACAATGTCTATATAAAAAAAAAAATCACAAGAGTGACAACAATTATCCCCATCCCATCTTCTTATAAATATTTATTGGACACATCATTACCATTTTATAGCTAATTTGTATGATGGCACCACTGGTCGGGGTGAATGACAGAGAAAAGGCAACTGGCATAGGGACAATGTCTCTGCCCTCTGTACACTTATTTGGGAAGGGTTTCTCACTGTTCGTCATGCCTGAGAAGCATAGATTAGTATTTTCTGACTTGTCCATCACAAACCCTGGAGCCCTACACAAGAGGGTTACTTTCTCTAATCCTAATTTGGCTCATTCATAAAATTAGTTGATTGAAATCAGAAGACCTTGCTGATGTGATTGTAAGATTCTGTGATTATTTTCTTTCGTTCTTTCTTTTTCTTTCTTTTTTTTTGAGACAGAATTTCAAGTTGTCACCCCGGGTAGAGTGCCATGGCATCCTAGCTCACAACAACCTCAAACTCTTAGGCTTAAGCAATTCTCTTGCCTCAGCCTTCCAAGTAGCTGGGACTACAGGCACCACTACAGTGCCTGGCTATTTTGTTGTTGTTGTTGTTGCCATTGTTATTGTTGTTTTTTTAGCTGGCCTGGACTGGGTTTGAATGTGCCAGCCTCAGTGCCATGTGGCTTGCACTCTACCCACTGAGATACGGGCACCAGCCTGTGATTATTTTCTTAATTCACCAAATTTTATTTAATAGAAAACAAAGCCCTAATATTCTGCAGGCTTATAAAATGTTCTTTTTACTTTCATTTGATTTGCTATATAAAAAGGCCAATGATTGATGACTTTGTTTTGTTCCCTTCTTCCTACAACACATCCCTGATCTGTAGAAGATTTGTTAGCTGAGGTATAAAATTGTGATCCCCTTACAGTGTAAAGCTCACTGCTTGGCTGGGAACCTGGTGCTTTGGGAGCCTGAAGTGGAAATTAGTAAGTATACAAACAAGAACTTCCCCGTGGCGTTTGGCTTGGACCTCTGTATATCCCTAGACAGCAGCAAAGCTAGTAGCAGATGGGAAATCATTTATTTGGTCATTCTTTATGCATTTGCTTTTTTTCATTCATTCATTCCACACACACATTCTAACAAATACGCAGATTAGGCATCAATTTTTGTGCTAGGGTAGAGTGTAGAAGGAGACAGATGCCGTGTAGGCCTTCAGGAGCATTTTGGTCAACCATAGGGACAAATTTAGTTAGTTTTTCAAATGGAATTCCACTGATGCCTAATGGCCATGAATTCCTGGGGTTTTTTGGATTTTATGTGTACATTTCAGTGATTCTCAAAAAAACATAAAATAGTCATATTCTGAACCAGCTAGAAGATGACCTAATAACCAAGGATAAGATCTCTCAAGGCCCAGATTTTGGTTTTTCATTACGGTCATGTTGGTATCACATATCACCAATTTAGTTGCTATTGGATAAGAAGAAAAAAAACAGAGCAAGCCTCATGTTCAGGGAATACAAGATCTTGCCTACATGGGGACCAAAGAACAAATGCCAAAATAATGACTATGCTTTTAACTAAATAGAGAAAAGCAGTAGGGCCATGTCATGATGCCAGGCTCAGAAGACACCCAGACAAAGTCCTGGGTGCCATATTTATATTATTTAGTTTGAGCAAATCATCATCCTTCATAGTGCTTAGTTATGCTCTGTTGTGAATGATATCCATTTTGTAATTTTATTTGTATTTTAAAATTTGCTTTGGTTTTAGAATTTTATGGAAGTGATGGGTTTATCTAGATTTGTATTGGTACCTAATCAGTCATGCTAGTATAAAGGTAATTCGTGTCAACAGCAGGGATTTGGAAAAGCTTCCTTACTTTAAAGGGGATCAGTGTATTACTTTAGATTGACAAGTACTTTTCTAATGTGTCGCACTGTACTATGGTCTGTGTTTAACTAGTTCATCCTGCCATTAGCTTGAAAGCTCTTGGACGGCATATCCACCTCTTGCTTGATTTTGATCATCCGTGTGGTGTTTCTTAAGTAAGTTGGCAGATAACAATTAAAATTGCCTAACTCACAAGGACTAACTAATTTATTTATAAAACGCTCTTTTTGCTTTTATTTCATTTTGGTATGTAAAAAAGGCTAATGATTGATGATTTTGTTTTGTTCCCCTCTTCTTAAAACATGGCCCTGATCTACAGAAGACTCGTCAGGAGCTGAGATGTAAAATCATGATCCCCTTACAGTGTCTAGCTCACTGCTTGTCTGGGAACTTGGTGCTTTGGGAGCTTGACGTAGAAATTTGCAAGTAAACAAACAAGAACCCTCTAGTGAGGTTTTCACTAGATGATCACTGGTTGAAGATTTCTGAATTGAGTTGAAGCTTGAGCTCTGGGTCCACCCGGACTCCTTTTAAATCTTAAACAGGGATACTACTTTTGCCACTGACTATGTTGCAGTACAGAATGATTGCATTGGAGTTTTTTTTTTTTTTTTCTTTTACCTTCCCAGATGAATTGCCTGAATGGAATTTTTACACTATTAAGATGAACTGCTGGTGTTAATTCATTTGCTTGAGCCACTCTAAATTTTGCCTTCAGCCTTTTGTGAGGTCCTTAAGTGTCTCCCTCTCAAAGAGGTTGGAATTCTAAGAGCCATTTGGAAAATGACTTCCTGGGAATCCCTTTCCTCGAGTCTGTGTGTGGGTCTTGGTACACATCAAGAGAGATGGCTGCATAAAATGAGAGAACTTGGAGCAGCATCCAGAGCAGCGCCTTTTGTCCAGAGGAAGCAGATTTTTAGAGTTGTCAGGAGAGTGTAAATGTACAGACAGCAGCCAGCCATATCTCTTCATCAGTTGATTTTTCTTCTTTTTTCTTCTCTCAGCAGTTTAACGTGAGTGCTTCTCTCTTGCCTCGTTTATTTCAGATGCCTCAGGAACAGTACACACACCACCGGAGCGCCATGCCCGGCTCCGAGGGGCCACAAGTATACAAAGTGGGGATTTACGGCTGGCGGAAAAGATGCTTGTATTTCTTTGTCCTACTCCTCATGATTTTAATCCTGGTGAATTTGGCCATGACCATCTGGATTCTCAAAGTCATGAACTTCACAATTGTAAGTAAAACCATCCAGGTTTGTTTGGTTCTTGTTGGGGAAAGGGGAAGCTCAGGCCAAGACGCTGAAGGGATGTGGAAGAGTGATGGGAGGGGCATTCAACGTATCCTACAGCCTTGTGTTTTGGGGAAAAGCATTTCCGTTCAGACCAGTTATGGGCGTTGACTTCTGTCTAATCTCACTTCTTCAGAGACTGGCAATCCAGTTGGGGGACATTTCTCTCCTTTGTGACCTTTTGTGGCTTTCTCTCCATTTTGATAACTGTACCTTTGTATCGTATGGTTTTCAAGCACTTTGAGTAAATGACATAGGAAGAAGTAGGGATCAGTTCCAAGTATTAAGTTTTCCCCAACTGTACTAGTGATTTTAAAAGGTTTCATGAGGAGGAAGTCAAAACAGCTTAGTACAATGAGGCTTTGACCATATTCTAAGAATCTAAACTGTCTCTCTGCACCTGATCATCCATCATTATGGTTAGAGAGTTTCCACAGCTTTTCAGCAGGCAGTCCTCTCTGTCATAGCATGGATAAGATGGAAATGATAGGAGTGTCACTATATTATATTTTTAAATGAATTTGTCTTTATGCTTCTTTGAAGAAATTCTTGCTGTTGGTGCTTAGCAGATTGGGCATTTACTGTTGATGTTTAAGTGAAGAAAAGTACAGACAGAATGACTTTTGGAGCAACTGAGATTCTTTTTTCCTTAGAGATTCTGTTCTGCACTAGCAATATAAGTAATTTAACTTATTAATGAGAAGAAAACAGCCTTTAATCTGCTGCACTGAGAATGCTTTCCTTTCTTGTTTTGATGAAACAAAGTAAGTAGACTAACAACAAAAACAGCTCCTGTTTGATAAAGCAGCTTTCCCGTTGGCTGGGCTTGGTGGCTCAGGAGGCCAAGGCAGGAGGATCACTTGCAGCCAGAGTTTGGAAATCAGCCTGAGAAACAGAAAGAGAACCTATCTCCAGACATACAATTTTTTTTTTTTAAATTAGCTGTGTGTGGTGTCATGTGCCTGTAGTACCAGCTACTCAGGAGCCTGATGCAAGAGAATGGCCTAAGGCAGGAAGATGGCTTGAGCCCAGGAGTTTAAGGCTGTGGTGAGGTATGATGATATCCCTACACTCCAGTCTGGGGGATGGAATGAGACCCTGTCTCTAACAAAAAAGAAAGAATGACAAGAAACACGGCCGTAACAAAGTTAGCCTAAGGTTTTTATGTGATGGTCTCATGATACATAGTGAATATTTGCCTTTTCTGAATTATGACGTTTATTTTTATCCTTGGCACCATATATAGGCACAGTCAGACTTCCTGGCCTTCACTTGGGCAGCTTTTCTGCATAGACTGCTTTTCTCTGTCTTCCCTGCCTGGTAAAACCCCTCCATGATGCTCCTGTGTCTCTGTTTATCTCCTATTATGCCTGTCATTCCAGATGATCATTTTGACATTTTGTTTCCCACACAGACTGTTTCTGAGGACAGGGCTGCCTCTTTTCTGTGTGTGCCTGTGTTCGTCACTCGTGGTGGGGCTTGTTCATGCTTGACTTAATTAGAACTCTATAAACCAAGGTTGTAAACACTGCTTCAGGCACTAGGATGGCTCCTTTTTAATACTTGGGGTTAAAGTTACCTTAATAGAACAGATTTCCATCTTGGGGTGGGGGAGTTCAGTTCCTTTGAAAAATACAGAAAGCATCTGTATTACAATAGTAACTTTCTTTTTTTTATTGTTGGGGATTCATTGAGGGTACAAGAAACCAGGTTACACTGATTGCATTTGTTAGGTAAAGTCCCTCTCACAATCATGTCTTGCCCCAACCAAGACCCCACCCTCTTCCTCCTTCCCTCTCTCTGCTCTTCCTTTCCCCCACCCCTCCCTCCTTCTTTCTCTCTCTGCTCTCCCCTTCCCCCACTCTCACCATGTCATTAATTGTCATTAATTGTCCTCAAATCAAAATTGAGTACATAGGATTCATGCTTCTCCATTCTTGTGATGCTTTACTAAGAATAATGTGTTCAGTAAGTTTCAAAAATTATACTGGTTGGTTTCCATGCGTTCACAAGGGTCCAAGGTGACATGTTCTGAGTATTGGAGTACACTCGATTCTGTTTCAAAATCAGACTTCACAAACTCTTTTTTGAACCTGGATGTTCTTTGTGAGCATTCAGAATTCACAGAAGTATTTAAGCAGAGAAGAAAGATATGATTATTTTTATATTCTGGAGAACTTGTGCAGGTGAGGACAACAGAATGGGGAAAGTTTCTTAGAGCTGAGGGCCATAGGGTGCCCAAGGTCTATTTGGTCCAGAGTCAAAGTGACCACAATCGCCATCTCTTGATACGCATGTTCTGTAATGTTCCTAATTTGTATTTCAAAACATGTTAACTAGAAGAGCTTCTGCATTGCACTATTAAGTAGGAGCAGACTGAACTAGATAGTAGTAGCATGGGGAGGAAAGAGACAAAAGACATTTAAAAGATGGGATTGACGTACTCTGACTGATGTGAGAGTTGAAGAATCAGAAGATATTTCAGAAGATTCCCAGATTTGGGGTGATTACATGATTGAGTGGTAGAGCCCAAAAAGCAAATAGAATGTATTAACTTTCCACTGGAATTTAGCTGGAACTCGGGTATCTCCCTAATCCTCTACTTGAGGCTAATCTCCATTTTTGTTGGGGGGGTTTTTGTTTGTTTTTTACTGAGTTTAGTATGAATTTAATTTAGAAAACCTGAAAGATATAGGGATAAAGGATGGAAAATTTGGGCTCAAACTTTGCTAACTGTGTTATTATACAAATATGGCTTCTGAAGTCTGTTTTATCTGGCAAGCTTAATACAGGTATATGTAAATGTATATTGAGCCTCACTTATAGGACATTAAGGGAATAATCTATATGAAATTGGCTCTTTCCTGTAGTTAACTAAATTGATTGCCAAAGTTGAGAATTTTGATAGCTTTACCAAACCAAGTACTTACTGAGGTAAGAGTAACGCTGTGATTAGCCATAATTGATGCTTTATAGCAGTAATGCATTTCAGCAAATAGAACTGAAGTGTTAGAAAATTGGTTTGCCCTGAAAGTTAAAAGCACATTTTCCATCAATCACAGCATAAAACATATTCTTTTAGAATTATAATTCTATTACACAAATAATAATTTACTGACAGGGAAGATCTGGGGGGAAGAATGAGGTATTAAGCAATATTGTATTGGAAGAAGAGCCAAAAAAAAATCAAGGAGATAGCAGTAAGTCATTTTATGCAGAGATTTAAAAGAAAATCATTGATAGGAAGAAGTCACTATTTTTGTATCCTTGGATCATTCAATAATTTGGGATTTGGGAAAGCTCACACTGTAATCCAACCCTTGAGTAATACAAAACAAGAGAATGATGTCATCTGAAAGTATTTCTGAAGACTTGGTGATTTATCCACAGTTGACTATCTGGAATTTTACTTTGTTGTGAGACTTGTATTCTGTGCCATCCCCAAGGATCTGTGCTGGAAGAGTCCTTTCAGTCTAGCAATCTGGACTATCATCCAATCAAGTTTGCTTTGTCTCAGAGGTAAATCAGAAGAAAAATTATTTTGCTTTCCGCTGCTCTTAGCAGCGTATCTTGGTGTTCATTGCTAGACAGGAGATCAAGATTACGCTTTTCAATTTTCTCCTACACTAAAGCGTGTGCAGTTTACCTACACTGTAAATGCTCATAAATTAACTTATCTGAATTTATCACATGCTGTGCGATACCAGAGAACCAGTATTTGTTAAGTGTCTCTTTTCTGCTAGCCATTGTTCATGGCCCTTAAAAAATTGCTCATTTAATTTTCAAACAACTCTACAAATTAGGGGTTATTTCTCCGCACTGTACTAAATAAATGAAAACCCAAGTCTCAGAAGGTTTTGGCTTACTGAAAGACACACAGCTCATAAGTGAAAAGCTGGCATTTGACTTCTTAGCACAAATCTTTCCACTACAATCTACCTCCTCCTAATTGATGTACTCATCTGGTTTTTCAACAAAATTCTGAACCTGACAAAACGGCTTATTATCTTTGCCACACACCCACCCTGTGTCATCAGTTCCAAATTTCTTCTCCTCTGAGGATATTCATTGGCATTTTCAGCTTAGAGTAATTCCTGTTCCAGTAAAACCTCCATAGCTGACCACCTCCCTATGTTGACCATCTCCTTAAATTGACCTGATTTTCATAGACTGACCATGCACCACATCTACGTATCACTACAGTAGGCCTGGTTTCTTATATTGACCACCTCTGTATGTTGACCAGTTTGATACAGTTCCCGGATGGTTGACTTACAGAAGTTCACTGTAGTTCCTGACATTTGGTCTTCATCTCACTTCTCTTTGCATTGTAGCTGAGAACCTGCTCCTTGCACTGTTTTTGAGTGTCCTCTTGTGTTAGTATAATAAACATTTAATACAAACTTAATATTTAATTATAGGTTGGTGTGAAGACTCCATGAGTTAATTCACTTTAGGTATTTTTAGCAGCGTCTGACATGTGGGAAGAGAGTCTTGGCAACAGAAAGTCACGAGAGACCCTCCATGCCAGTGTAGTAGTTAAGAGCTAAGACCCTGAAAGAGTCCAAGCACAATGTTAGGTTCTGCTACTTACTGTGTGATCTTTGACAGGTTTCTCAACCCCTCTGTGTTGCTGCTTCCTAGGAGTAATAACAATATCTACCTTTAAGATCCTTTTGAAGATTAGAAGAGGTTATGGGCATATAGTAAAAGCTTTCTAGAAGTGTTTGCTATCATCATTTGTTGGTTTTCCTATGCCAGGCACCATATTGTTGCAATTTACTGGTTATTTACTGTTAAAGACATTTTTGACCTAATTCTTATTCTAATAGATACTATTATGATACCAATTTTCCAAGGGAGAGAGGCTCTGTAACTCAATTTGAGAGCACACAGTTATAAGCAGCAGGGTAGAGATTTGAATCCAAGCTGTCTGACTGGAGCCT